TATAACATAATAACACACCAACAAACCCACAATGCTCCTGGCCTATAGAAATCTGTCATGGGGGCCCCGCGTGGTAAAACTGTAGGACCTGCTTGGGCAAACATACAGGGAGGCCCCACAGTGTAGGGCCCAGATGTGCCCTACATTTCAGCCCACAGTGGGCTGCCAACAGTGTGGGTTTCTCCACAGTGGCCTCACATGGGCCCCAAGAGGATATGTTTGCTGGATAGATACCCAGTTGCATTTAATATAGATTTTACAAAACCACTTGGTGTAGGCTACAAATACAAGCACAGAGTTCAAAATAAATGGGTGTTGTCACAATGGCTACACCCATCTTTTATATACAGTCAGTCTATGATTCCAGCGACACATTTGGTTAATGGCAAGTAATTGATCATAATTTCTTTACATTATATACAGCACCTCCTTTCATACACACATGCAGCTCAAAGGACAACGGGATTTGTCTCACCTTGGCGTCCACAGGTTTTGTGGAGAACTTGTCCCTGCTCTCTCCATGCTCATCATACAGCAACACCACCCTGTCCACAGTGCAAACAGCGAACTTGATGTTGTTTGGTGCCCATGCCATGCAGGTAACTTTGGCAGCAAACTCCTGTCAAAGCAGGTAAACAAATCAGTCCTAAAGCACTTGTTTTATAGACTTGCTCTTATATGATGTCCTCTTTTAAAATCCTTCTAATGATTGTGTATCTGTTACACGTGTCTTTATGCTTCTACTCTAAATGAAAATCAGTGTTTCTCTCTGTTTTATCTTGTGTTTGGCCCTGATTTCAGTCTTTCTATAAAATCATGCTTTAACTGTCTGCCTAATTGTTGTCTATTTTTGCCAGTGGAGATACTCTTCCTTATGAGCGACAGATAGATGTTAAATTTGATCAGACACGATAGATTTAGGTGTTTTAAAATCCATTTAGCACGTGCAGACTTTTGGCCATGTATTAATCATAAGGACGCGGCGTTTATGTGCTAGCAAGCCTGGCTAGTGCAAAAATCCGCTTTCAATAACAGTTCAGCGTGGGTCAGTAAAATCAAATTCATGCAATAAATAAATAAATATATCACGAAACTGGTGCGCAGTTTCAGCTTTCTAGTATAAACATTATTATCTGGCTTCCAGAACCAGTTATTGTTAGCTAACTCGCGCTGGCTTCCTAGCACTACTTACCGTTAGCTCACTCGTCAACTTACCCGGGAGGTTAAAAGTGTCTTGAGATACTTCAGTTGCATTCTGAGGGAAGCTCGTACACAGAATGGTATTATTACTGCTGGAATATTCCTCAGATTTTGGTCATTTTGCTAGCGAGCCTGGGCTAGTGCAGAGGAGGTTGGAAGTAAACTAACTGTGATCTCCTTAGTTACCGCTGGGGCGGGACTTGCGGTGCGTTCATAACAATAGGAAATGTGAATGTTCTCGGACAGTTTGCCAGCTCTCGCGCTTTTGTTTCTGCAAAAGGATGCCATTAAATAATTAAAACAATTTTAACCCGGTTAGAGTCGTTCCAGGTTACGCCACAGGCCGTGAACAGAACTGCTTCGATTATGTGATTTCTATGCGTTTATTCTGTTTACTCTCTAAAGATGCTACGATTTCCGTCATTATATATCAGCCGTCAAATGACAGAATTCCCGGAGCTAAAACATGTCCACGTTTAGTAAGGGAACAGTTCAGTTTAGATGTGATATTTAAATAGTCACATTTTAGATTAAGATTAAAAAGTTTTGAGGAAATTTCCCCCAAAAAAGAAAAGAAAAAAATATGGAGATGCCGGGGATTGAACCCGGGGCCTCATACATGCAAAGCATGCGCTCTACCACTGAGCTACATCCCCTTCCGTATAGGAGCCGCGAATGTAGTATATTTATTCGCATACATCTGCACTATACCCACACTTGCTAACTGTTTCTTCATTATATCATACTTGTTTAAAAAAATAATTTCAATTCCTCATATATTATGTACATTGCTTAAACTTTCTTCAGGCATACCAAACCGTTGAATAAAAATATTAAAGTTAAATAAATGTAAATTTATGAATAAGTCTGGATTGTAGCCCCCACAAACAAACTCAGCCTGCCAGATTGCGCACTTGTGAAATTTGCTGTTAACATCACTTAAGATTTATCTTTTACTTTTCATAATCTCTATATATTATTAGCCATTTAAATGGTGAATACACATCACACATCACACATTTTACGTCAATATCAAAATTGTAAGAGTTATAAGAACGTTTTTTCCTGTGCACAGAACAAAATGTTAAATTGCCGCTGCAGATACGCCCCTCTAGCGTGGTGACGTAGAGGTCACGTGGAAGTGTTAATTTTCCAAAGTGTACCAAGGTGTACCGGAAATCAGCGAAACCCTCAAGTGTATGACGAGATGTTGCCAATTTTTATGTCGCACAAAATCAGAGACAAACACATGTAAATTGTTTACTAAAATTTAGGATGCATATTGGCTCTAAAACAAAGTTACTCTAAATTTTTGATTCATGTAAACAATTTACTTATTTTCATGACAATATGCATTTTGTTGACTTCTAAAGATAAGAATTTATATACTCTGAATACTTGGCATTGGAACCAACTATTGAAATTATTAAGTTAAAGTATAAAAACTTTTCAAACACCTTCTTCTTATCCCATACTTCTCCAGATTCCACAGTAATTGTGTCAATTTTGTATTGAGGCAAAAACCTTTCATTAGGTTAATAGAAACACTAACACTTATATTGTAAGGTAAATACCGTACAATAATAGCGCCTACATTTTCCTAAATCATGTTCTTTTTAAGGCATAGAGATATAATTGTTATCATTAATATTTTTTGTAACATTTTTAAAGTTGAAAGTTCTCTGGTGTTTGGGCGATCAGATCCCAGCAAACTAAACAGGGCACGAACGAATGTTGGACAATGTGGGTATGTCAGTAATGATAAGTGTTAGTGTAATTTATGGGGTTTATTTATTTAAATTATTATTTAATAAATCTAACTTGGGAAAAATATTGCAAACAGCCTAGTCTCAAATTCTACTAAAAGTTGATTCTGTTCATCTGGACGTAACGTTTTGTGGGAGAAACGTTTCGACACTCATCCAAGTGACTTCTTCAGTCTCAGCTGACTGCAGGGTTCTCCAAATCTTATAAACAGTAAATTTGCATAATGACTGAAACCAGCCCACCGAGGGAACAATGGGCTGGGAGGTCAGTTCCTTAATCATAATTATGCAAATTCTCATGACCGTTGATCAACAACCACTGACCAAAACCCACTGATCAAAGACCACTGATCAATGGCCATGAGTACCATTCACAGAGAGTTGGGGAATGGCTGCAATCACAGCATTGTAAGATGGCGAAAGATGTACCCTTAGGCCCCCTCCTCGATTCAGAGATGGTCTTTCCCTTTTCACATAAATGGCCTCCTGGACTACGCGCTCAAACCAGCGTTCCTCTCTGTCCAGGATGTGCACATCCTCATCATTGAAAGAGTGTCCACTGGCCTGTAGGTGTAAATAGACTGCAGAGTCCTGGCCTGATGAGGTAGCTCTTCTGTGTTGTGCCGTCCGCTCCGCCAGAGGTTGTTTGGTTTCCCCGATGTATAAATCCTGGCAATCCTCCTGGCACTTAACAGCGTACACTATGTTACTCTGTTTGTGTCGGGGGACCCGATCCTTGGGGTGGACAAATTTTTGACGCAGTGTGTTTTGGGGTTTAAAAGCCACAGAGACCTGGTGTTTAGAAAAAATGCGTCTCAACTGCTCTGATACTCCTGACACATATGGGATCACTACAGGTTTTTGCTTGGGCAGCGGTTGTCTTTCTCTCCTGGATTAGCTGGAGCTTTCTTTAGGTGCCTTTCCCGCTTTGACAGAAGTCCAGCTGGGATAACCACATTTACTCAGGGCCTTCTTGATGTGCTGTTCTTCAGCTTTCCTGGCCGCTGTGTCTGTGGGGATGGTGTTCGCTCTGTGTTGTAGCGTCCTGATGACACCCAGTTTGTGCTCCAGTGGATGATGAGAGTCAAACCTTAGATACTGATCCGTATGTGTAGGTTTACGGTACACGTCAGCTTTTAGATGTCCCCCATTCCTGATGGAAATCTCACAGTCTAAGAAGGCTAACCTGCCCCTTTTCATATCCTCCCTGGTGAATTTGATGTGTCGGTCCACCGAGTTAATGTGATCCATGAAATGTGGTACATCCTGAGATTTGATTTTCACCCAGGTGTCATCCACATATCTGAACCAATGGCTTGGTGGTGTTCCAGGGTAGGATAGCAAAGCCCTCTTTTCCACTTCTTCCATGTACAAATTAGCAACGATGGGTGAAACTGGGGAGCCCATGGCACACCTGTGTTTCTGCCTGTAGAACTGACCCTTGTATGTGAAGTAGGTGGATGAAGACACAGCTCCAAAAGCAAACACACTTGGTCGTTGCTGAGAGTGATCCTGTTGCTGAGGTTGGGGTCATCCTGTAATCTCTTACGGACTACCTCCAACGCTTCTGTGACTGTTTCAGTCATTATACAAATTTACTGTTTATAAGATTTGGGGAACCCTGCAGTCAGCTGAGACTGAAGAAGTCACTTGGATGAGTGACGAAACGTTTCTCCCACAAAACGCTACGTCCAGATGAACAGAATCAACTTTTGGAGATTTACTTTCCTGGATGATTGAGAATGCATCAAGATGTTATTTTAATGTAATTTTCCTAACCTGACATTTAGCTATTTAGCTAAAATTTGCTTTTATATTCCTATGGAAAAGTCTATTTCTACATTTTTTATTTATTTATTTTAATACCAAATATGATTTTAAAAAAAAACTTTTTCTGTAGACACATCTGGCTTCAGCTGGACTCATGACATCTGTTTTTGAACCATAAAAAATTTCCGAATCTCGTTGTAACGCTTGTATTTTATGTTGAAAATCCCTAGCGGAAACGTGAAGCCTCAGTTCGTCAAACTTACCGTCGCGGCCTGCTGCCCGACTTCCACGCTGCTGGCGGCGCGTGTGGAACACATTGGTCTCATCGTCCCGTCCGAACAAACTCTAAACTGTCAACCTAAACATATTTCCTTTGTTTTGCTTCTCCCGGATTGAAATTGGATTCGTTTCAACATTCAAAGGTTTGTTTTTGGCCACCAGATCTCATGTTTATTGGTGTTTTTTGAAGTATTTTGTGACTCAGTCTCATCTACATCTCTTGCTTCCGCGCGGCAGAACGTTCACGTGGAAACTGGGACTCGTCACAAATCCTTCAGTTATCGGTATCTGCAGTTAACTTCAGCTGTAATCACTACAAAAAAAATGGCAAATATGGCAACCCTGATCCTGGAGGACGGGACGACGTTCAAAGGCCGCCAATTTGGTGCAAGCGTGTCGGTATCCGGAGAAGTTGGTACGTGTTTTATACTGTTTTAATTCACCTCAGACTCTCAGTTTATTATTGTGCATAATCCACCTGTGTATAATATAACTCAGCATGGGTTAAACATTTGCTTTGGTACATTGTGTAATCTGGATGTGTGGTGTGGTTTGCCCCTTTGTTCCAAGACGCTCATGGTTCAGAGTTGTAAAGCGCCAAATCCTCCTAACGTTTCCCCCCCAGTGCCAAACTCCATTGAAAAAGAGTGGAATTTGGTGACGCCATCACAGCCATGCGCCCACCTCTACCTTCAGCGCCCACCTGTGTGTATTTTGGCAGGCAGATGTGACTAGGAAACTGCTTGCTGTGTCGTAATAAGCATGCCGAATTAAAGATAAGATAATAGTGATTTTGGATCATGTCAGATTTTCACATTCAGTATGCGTGACTGCAGAGATGAGTCACGCAACGTTAAAATGATAAATAAAAATGTAAGCGTATGCTGGATGGAGGACGTATACTCGGGTGGAATGCGACTGTATTCCAGCCAGGTGTTATAATCCCTTCAAACGTTTATTACAGAAACACAAGTAGGTAGAACACAATAAAATAATCGACTATAGAGATCGAAAAACACATTTCGTTCTCAATAAACAGTCATCATATGTAGACAGTTAAAGATGCCGCATGAGTTCATTTAATCAAATGGGAAATACTGGTAATTAATGCACTTTCTAGTCTGAATGATCCCTCAGACTGCAAGAGACTCCACATTTATCTGTATTTTCCAACAGCAACGACTGAAATAATTTTAATATCAGGTAATATGGGATGTCTTAATAATGAGACTGTTTATTATGAACTACAAGAAAAAAATTGGATATGGTCTCATGAGATACAACCCTTGAGATACAAAGATATAATTGCACTAAATATGAGAGAATCATAATTATGAGATAAAAAGTCATCCAAGTCCTAAACCAGAAGAGTTTCATTGTTATTGAAAGTGCATCAGTGTGCATTAAAAAGAAAAAAAGTCAGTTTGCTAATATTCTCTGACTCTAAAGAAAAAACCTAATTATTATTAACTGTCTGGCAGGTTTAAGCTCTTGTAGTTGATATGATGTACTCAAGAATGTTTTGTGTGTTTAGTGTTTCAGACGGGGATGGTGGGATACCCCGAGGCTCTTACTGATCCATCCTACCGCTGCCAGCTGCTGACCCTCACTTACCCTCTGGTTGGCAACTATGGTGTGCCAATGGATGAAGAGGGAGAGTTCGGGCTGAGCAAGGTAAGCGGTTATTTAAACTCCAGGTGAAAATGAATTTGCAAACTTATTAACATATTTAAAGTGGAAAAGTGAGTCAGGATTTTTCTTCTGTGGGACGGTTTTATGTGAATGAAAGAAGTCTTAACTCTGATAAAACACACTGTGTTATCTGTTGTTGTCTTGTTCAGTGGTTTGAGTCATACAAGATCCACGCTGCTGCTTTGATTATTGGAGAACTGTCTGAAAGTCCCAGTCACTGGAGTTCAGCCAAGTCACTGGACCAGTGGCTCAAAGAGCAAGGCATTCCTGGATTACAAGGTCAGAAACCCAGAATAAAAATGGGCGTAATTAAATTGGAAAACTGCTCAGCATCTGTAATATATATTAATGCATAAAATAATCAGATGCAAGCTTTTCAATTTAATGCTACAAACTGTTTCCATTTTCTTCAGGTGTTGACACCCGCTGCTTGACCAAAAAGATCCGAGAGAAGGGGACCATGTTGGGGAAGCTGATAGTGGACGGGACTCCTGAGGAAAGTATTCCCTTCGATAATCCCGACAAGAGGAACCTGGTCCGAGAGGTCTCCATGAAGGTAACCCACCAGGAGTTTTGTTACAGTCCCATCGAAGCTCTGCCAGCTCTCGAGTGCTAATGGAGGGCGTTATTTATGTTACTGATAAACTAGAAACTTGGAGATTTGATCTGTGGATCTAATTTTGTGAAGGTTTTTTTTAAAGCTCTAAAACATAGGAAAAGTTTAGCGCTCACACTTCAGCTCAAGTAAGAGGTTTTAAACTAAATAAAAAGCTTTTGTCTGTAGTTGTCTCAAAACATATTGTTTGACAGGTAGCTTGCTGCTTGTTTTGTGCCTGTCAGATATTTAGATGTTTCTCTGTTTGGTTGTCTCCAGGAGCCAAAAGTGTTCAATCATAGCGGCAGCTTTCGTATCACAGTGGTGGACTGTGGCATCAAGTACAACCAGATCCGCTGCCTGGCTCAGAGAGGAGCCCGTGTTACTGTCGTACCCTGGGACCACCCGCTGGACACCGCCGGTCAGGAACACGCGCTATGTCGGGGATTTTCTTCAGGGGAACTCGTACCACTTTTATCAGTGGTTACATAAATGATTGTTTCTCATCTTTTTCCAGATTTTGATGGTTTGTTCGTCAGTAATGGTCCCGGGGATCCCCAGCTCTGTCAGGCCACCATCAACAACGTGAGGAAGGTGATCTCTGTGGACCAACCAAAGCCAGTTTTTGGCATCTGTCTCGGACACCAGCTGCTCTCTCTGGTCATTGGAGCCAAGACCTACAAGATGAAGTGAGTACCTCAAACTCAACACCTCCGTAACCTGAAAGATAAATTGTTAAACTTTTACCAACGTTTACTATCAAAAAGTAATGGTGCTCCATTATAAGAAAATTGTATTCAATTATTTTCAGTCCTGTAAACTTAACATGATTACTAATTTCTTCAATGTAACACACCTCTTTGTCTTTGTAATAAATTCGAAACCCTCCCGCAGGCTTGTTAGCCAGTGCTTGCTCTGGTGTTGTTAGCTGGAGCTGGACTAAACAGCAAGTGATTTAAAAGCACAAGAAAAAAATATCCTTCATGAGCAACAACAGAAAAAGATCCAGAGTGAAATTTTTGTGAAGGTGGATGGTGTGAAAACATTTTATTTAAATTTGTTTAAGTTACCTTTGCTCCATCTTTTTACTCCGGCCCCACAGCTGCACTGTTGTGAGAACAGCTGGTCAGAAGCTGAATTTCATGACCTTTGGTGGAAAGGGTGAGCACATGTGAATGAAGAACTCACTGTATGTTCTAGTGTAGATGTGGACTTGTCTTAAAGTTGTGAAATAGGACGTCCTCATATTTTGCAAGCCTTCTTGGCAGGATCATTGTGTTCCTGTCGCTGACATTCCAGTTATTTTATGACTCAAGCAAGTATTAATATTGCCTTCAAACTAAGATTACGCAACACACATTAGCCAGCCTGAACGCACCTTTTAAAGGTTGAGCTGTAAAAAGTTGAGTGAATCTGTAGTGATGCGTTCACTGACGTCTGTCTTTTGCTGAGCCCTCGAGTGACTGAGGGCACCCTCTACTCTCTCTAGATACACAGGTTTTCACGCTCTCACTTTCTTTGTGAAATGCAGATTTTTGCTGTTCTCAGCACTCTGGCGTCTCCCTTATGATCACTAGAGGGTTGGATTGAGCGTCGTTGTTCTGAAAAAGGCTGAATAAACACGTCTGCCAAATTCTGTAGCCATATCTATTATGGGAGACTCAGCCTGATAAAGCTGCCATCGGCAGAGTCTGAAGGTCGGAGTGGGCAGCATGTGTCCTGCTGGAATGTGGCTGGCATCCCATCAGACAGATTACAGGTTGTTTGTGGAGATTCTTTCTGAAAGACTACAAGCGTCAAACAAGTCGTCCTAAAATGTGCTTTGTCTGTACCTGGATGAACAATCTAAAGGCCAAGTTAATTAAAGCTTCTGCTATAATAATGCCTCATTAGAGGGCACCTTGGTTAAGCTAAATGTATAATTATAGATTTTGTTAACCGTGGGAAATGTCTTTTATCCATCTTTTAATTAGTGTGTTATTTCCTCTTGTTTCTCAGGTACGGTAACCGTGGACACAACCAACCGTGCATCCATAATGGGACAGAGCGCTGCTTCATCACCAGTCAGAATCACGGCTTCGCTGTCGACCCTGACACTTTGCCCAAAGACTGGGACGTGCTCTTCACAAATGCTAACGACCACACCAATGAGGGCATCGCACACAACACAAAGCCTCTGTTCAGGTAACAGTCTGTGAAAGATGGAGTCCAGTGGTGATTCACTCTAGAAGTGACTGGTTCTGGTGCCTTAAGTGCCTCTGTACTGGCCGGAAAAAACCCAATTAAATCATTTGCGGTCCCTTTCATCCAGTGTTCAGTTCCACCCAGAGCACATGGCTGGTCCTACAGATCTGGTCGGCCTGTTTGATGTCTTCATTGAAACGGTGAAAGACCATAAAGAGGGCAACACTGGAAAATCTGGTATTCCAATTTAACTTTCATTTTTTATCATCTTAAATGTTGTGGTGCATATTAGTTTATGTCTAAAGTACTTTTGTAGTTTTCAGTAGTAATTGGTATTTAATAGTAGTAATGTAACTATGCCTGTGAAGAAGAGAAACCCTTGTAAGTCTGGCTTGTGTAACAACTAATAAGTAGCAATTTGTGTGATATTTTTCCAGTGAAGCAGCGTCTGATGGACCACCTCACTTTCACTGGTTCCCCAAAGGCTGAAGGGCATGTCAGATCCAAAAAAGTCCTCATCCTAGGCTCAGGTGGACTGTCCATCGGCCAAGCTGGAGAGTTTGATTACTCCGGCTCGCAGGTCTGTGAAACAGGAGCTATTTGGTCTTATTTTGGGCTGTGTGTAAAGCGGAGGGTTAATTCAGGATTTAAAGAAGAACACTTGAACGCAGAGGACTTTTTTCTGTGCCTCCTGATGTTACTCTGCTCTGTTTTCCAGGCTATTAAGGCTCTGAAGGAAGAGAATATCCAGACTGTGTTGATCAATCCCAACATTGCCACTGTCCAGACCTCCAAAGATCTGGCTGACAAAGTCTACTTTCTGCCGATTACAGCAGAGTACGTCACTCAGGTATGGATTCTCTCTGTTGCAACTCTGTGACTGATGAAAGAAGAGAAACTGTGGACACAGTGAAATTTGTAGGTCAACTGTTTTTTGTTTGTTTGTTTGGATCAGTCAGTATTGACCCCAGATTGTGTTTGTCTAAAAGACTGAGGGGTCTCATATAATCACAGCCCACCAAAGAACACAGAGCAGTTCTGTACAGGTGTGTTTGTAGCTTTGGTGACTGTTGAAGGTAGTTCAGTCTTCTTTTGTGTCTGTATTGTAGGAATTGGGACAGTGGGTTCTAGGACAACCTTTATTTTTATTTCTTTACTGTGGATAAGATACACTTTTACGTGGTCCATCACTTTGTTTGGTTGAACACTTGAATGCAGCACAAGCGTTTAAAAGCAAAGGCAAAACATGAGCTTTGTGTTGCAGCCCTTAAATCCGCGGCTCCATGGAAGTCATCATGTAAGATAAAGGGTGGTGCTGGTGGACTAAAGAGAGCTCGTTGCTCCACTCTGGTTTTTATATAGATGCAATATAGAGACAACAGCCAGTAATTAGTAAGAGAGGAAAAATAAGAGTGCGGATTAATAATGATAATGAAAAGAAACAAGTTTGAGGACAAATATTCCCTCAGATTTTTACCGTCTTTGCCCAGGTTTATTTAATGTAGTTTATGTTATTATTTTTATTTTTAAATTTCAGTGTTCATAATACGTTTCTGTAAAAATGTGCTGGCTCAAAGATAAAAAAATCCCCGCTCAGCTTTCTACCTGCATCCATCATATGGCAGTATAGAGTGGAAACGAAGAGGCTAAAAGGCTAAAACAGTAAAAAATCAAAGATCACTTAAGCTGCTTTTAGTTCAGTTGCAGACTTCCAAATGTCTTGGACGGGATGAAATTCCCAGTGTGAAATCCACAGAGCTGCTTGTCTCATTTTCATGTGTTGTGAGTGCTTCGTGTCATTACATCTTGTTGTTACAGGTGATAAAAAATGAGCGCCCGGACGGCGTCCTGCTGACTTTTGGAGGTCAGACTGCTCTGAACTGCGGTGTAGAGCTGACCAAGCTGGGCGTTCTGGAGAAATATAAAGTGCAGGTTCTGGGAACTCCTGTTTCCTCCATTGAGATGACCGAAGACAGGAAAATCTTTGTGGAGAAAATGGAAGAGATCAATGAGCATGTAGCTCCCAGTGAAGCAGCTCTGTCGGTGGAACAGGTGAGGAGACGTGTTCGCTTATAAATTAATAGCTTCTGGATTGTTTTTTGCCCCAGTGAAGTCTAAATTTATCTGATTAACTTTGCTGTAGGCGGTGGCAGCTGCTGAGCGTCTTGGCTACCCCGTCTTGGTTCGTTCAGCGTTCGCTCTCGGAGGCCTCGGCTCCGGTTTTGCCAACAACAGAGAGGAGCTGACCTCTCTGGTAACGGCAGCATTTGCTCACACCTCTCAGGTGCTGGTGGATAAATCCCTGAAAGGCTGGAAGGAGATCGAGTACGAGGTGGTCCGGGACGCCTATGACAACTGTGTGACTGTGAGTAAAAGGAGACCAGAGAACAAACGGTTTATACTCACTAAAAAAAACTGAGGGCGATTTAAAGTGGCTGTTGTTTCCTCTTGTTTAGGTGTGTAATATGGAGAACATCGACCCACTGGGTATCCACACTGGGGAATCCATTGTAGTGGCTCCCAGTCAGACGCTTAATGACCGCGAGTACAACATGCTGAGAAACACGGCCATTAAAGTCATCAGACATCTCGGCATCGTGGGAGAGTGTAACATCCAGTACGCTCTTAACCCCGAATCTGAACAGGTAAGCATATATGTGAAGACCTGGGTGATGAAAAGCACAAATAGGACTGTGTTCACCTATAAAGTGGATCTGTTTTGCATTTCCTGATTTTAAAGCCAGTGACATGCTGTAATGAATAGTACAGAAAGTGTAGGTATATTGAAATAAGCATGGGTGGTAACATGACTTGAAGTATATACAGTTTATATGGCTATAGGATGTACAGAGTGTGCGGCTGGATCTGCAGATAATGTAACAGCCAGGTATGTCAACGGCTTACATTTACTGTTTTGGCTCCAAAACAAGGTTGTAAAATGTCTTTGCTATGTAAATCCTAGTTCAATAAGTTTTAAAAGAAAATTGTTTTAGGTATCAATGTGACCAAGTTCATTTCATACAAACCAGGAATAGATTTGTATGAATAGGCTTTATGTATCAGAACAGGCCTTTAAACAGGTCTTGTGTGCATGGGGAGCTGGTATTCCTGCTCCTGGTCTAATTCCCGTAATGTCTGTGATTGAATTGTATCTTCTATGTATAATGTGTTGCAGTACTACATCATTGAGGTGAATGCCCGCCTGTCACGGAGCTCTGCTCTGGCCAGTAAAGCGACTGGTTATCCTTTGGCCTACGTAGCAGCTAAACTTGGTCTGGGGATCCCGCTGCCACAGCTCAAGTACGTCTCTCAGCTTAAGAACGGCGGATAATGATCTAACAGGGGCATCGCTGCTTTTACAGAATGATGACATCCAACAAAGACGTTCCAGTATTCTGCCAAACTGAACATTTTTTTAAAAGTGGGGTTTAAAGTATTCAAGCTTAAAATCAATTTTTGTATATTAAACGACCAAAAAATAATTGTGATGCATAGATGCCTGTAAAGTAAGGCAGCACAGACTCGCTGCCTTCACTGCATGTGGACCTGTTGTGCTTACCCTGAATAGTCACCCCCACAGTGTCACACAGACCCAGGAAACATGTAGCTAGTCAATCATTACACTTAAAGACATCTGATCATTGAAATTCAATCATTTTTTTTTTTTAGTATAAATGTTTTCACAATTTTTCATCAGCAAAGAAATTTGGAAACAAGATGATATTCATCACCTGCACAGCTGGCAGTTTGGTTAATTTGAAGTTATTGTTTTGACAAAGCTGCTTTGAGCAGTTGCAACATAAGCATTGTAGTTTTTTTTTAATTTTTTGGCATAAATGTCTTAACTGTAAAGCGCCTTTAAATTAAGTGATTCACCAATGAAAAATATTTGCACTGCGTCTGTATTTTTGTCCAGAAACTCGGTGACAAACTCGACGACGGCAAACTTTGAGCCGAGTTTGGATTACTGTGTGGTGAAGGTGCCTCGCTGGGATCTCAGCAAGTTCCTCAGGGTTTCCACCAAGATAGGCAGCTCCATGAAGAGTGTTGGTAAGAGGCAAAAGCGAGCTTGGAACAAAAATATGTTGTAACAAATTGTAAATAGGTAGTAGATTTAGTACTGTTAGTATTCCAGAGCATTTTAAAAATACTTAGTTTGGTCTCAGTAAAGCTAACAATAAATTCACATGGTCATTTTTTGCACCTACTATGTTTTTTCTTTCTTTTTTTATTCTTATTTATTCATTTTTTCTGCACTGCTATCACAGCAGATTTCTCCATGAGGGCATTAAAGTTTTACTCTACTGCTTTATTTCACAGTTTGATTATAAAGTTAACCTTTACCAGTGCGGGCAGAGAAGCCAGTAAGTCAGGTGCTTATTATGGATATTGTGCTCAGTGCTTGAACCTTTTCCTCGACAGGGGAGGTGATGGCTATTGGTCGTAGCTTTGAGGAAGCCTTCCAGAAAGCTCTGAGGATGGTGGATGAGAACTGTGTTGGCTTTGACCACACCATCAAGCCTGTCTCTGAAAAGGTAACCTCCCATAGCTGAAGTCCAGGTTAAATGGTTGTACTGGTTAAAAAATGCCTTGCTGCTGCACGACCTGTTCAGTGCAGTGTCAGCAAATACTTTATCCCAGGTTGAAAGATTTTTAACCATTTTCAGCCAAACATGCAATGATTTGCTTCATATTTGGTCAGAACACAACATTAGTGCTTTTGCTATGCAATGCCATCGGCTTTTAAGGATGAGTGATGGTGCTGCACATTAAAGCATGTTGATCTGTTTTACTACGCCTCTATTAGGATGGTGACCCTATAAGTGATTGTGATAAGGACATTTTAAAAGGTCAAAACTGTATTGTTCTGTCTTAACGGGACCAGTAGATGGTGCCAGATCTCCCCTGAGCGATCTACTACTGTAATGCTTCCTGCTTCTGGGTTTTTTGAGGAATGTTTCATTGCATGCTGTTAATCATGTTCTGCTACTATGTGTGTGGCTGATTTATTTTTATTTAGAGAAAATAAGCCCAAATGTCTGAGCTGATGCTCATGGCTGGCAAATAACTAGCAGCACTTTACTTCACAGTTAGTATGTTGTGCTCCCTCTGCTTACCAGGAGTTGCAGACTCCTACAGATAAGCGTATCTTTGTGCTGGCGGCAGCATTCAAAGCTGGCTACACTGTGGAAAAGCTGTATGAGCTGACCAAAATCGACCGCTGGTTCCTGCACAAGATGAAGAACATCGCCGACCACGAGCTGCTGCTGGAGACCTACAATCAGGTAAGGCCGATAAGACATAACGTGAAAAAACTAAGAGCTGTTCGAAATGGATTAAGATGCTGGATTAATTTCCTTCCGTCCAGGATGAGAGCTCCATGCCTCCAGAGGTGATGCTTAAGGCCAAGCAGCTGGGCTTCTCAGACAAGCAGATAGCACTGGCTGTACAGAGGTGGGTAGGAAAGGAAATAATCACTGTCTTAGTTTAACTTACTGGTAACTTTCTCTGTGATTAGGGTATTATCAGCATGAAATGTTGTTTTAGATAAAGTGTTATTAAAGAATCCAAACTTCCTTGGTTTGTCCTCTATCACTGAATCCACGTTTCCCTCTAACAGCACAGAGCTGGCCGTCAGAAAGCTGCGTCACGATTGGTCCATCCTGCCAGTGGTGAAGCAGATTGACACAGTGGCGGCTGAATGGCCGGCTTACACAAACTACCTGTACCTGACCTACCACGGCACAGAGGACGACCTGAGCTTCAACGATCAGCACGTCATGGTGATCGGCTCGGGCGTGTACCGCATCGGCAGCAGCGTGGAGTTTGATTGGTGCGCTGTTGGGTGCATCACCGAGCTCAGGAAGGTAAGGCCTACGTGAGACTTTAATACCGGATGCTCTCTTTATGACTGAGTTAGTCTTTTACCTCACTGAAATTGAATCCAGGGAGCAGGAAGAACCGCCTCCATGTTCAGTTCATCTCTTTATTTCCTTTACTAAACTATTTTTTTTAGCTTGAGAGGATTAATTTACTTATTTATGAAAAAACATACAAATTTAGATCTTTTTTTGTCATTTATTGTGTTGATTATTACACGTATTATTACACCCCAGAGCCAGTAATCCAAATGTTACGAAATAAGCATCAAACCATTTGCAGATGGGCTATAAGACCATCATGGTGAACTACAACCCCGAGACAGTCAGCACAGACTACGACATGTGCGACCGCCTCTACTTCGATGAGATCTCCTTTGAGGTAAGTTTTAGCTGATACGGGAAAGTGTGATTGTGGTGAATGTGACTTGATTCAAGTCTGACATTTTGGGTGAAAGTAGCCTCTGGGCTCTTTGTTGCAAGTCATCCCCTCAAACTTTCTAACACTGTTATTAATTTCCTTGTACACGTATTAATCTGCAGTGTTTCGTGGTTAGAGATGAGTATTTCTATGCATCTTTCAGGTGGTGATGGACATCTATGAAAGGGAAAACCCAGAGGGAGTGATCCTGTCTATGGGAGGCCAGCTTCCCAACAACATTGCCATGTCGTTGCACCGCCAGCAGTGCCACATCTTGGGGACTTCGCCCGAGTTCATCGACAGCGCTGAGAACCGGTTCAAGTTCTCCCGAATGCTGGACACCATCGGCATCAGCCAGCCGCAGTGGAAGGAGCTCTCAGACACTGAGGTACAGCAGACTGACGATGAGCTCGTTTTATGTCACCGATGTCTCGGTCTGTAAAGTTAAAGATGTTTAACCCTCAAATGTTGCCTTAATATGCTAGTAAATTATATTTACTGTTATTTACTATTGTACATACAACACTAAGAAAAATAGTTGCAAAGCCAGCGTTCGATGACGTTTACGTTTCTTCTTTGCTCTAGTCTGCTGTGAAGTTTTGCGAGACAGTCGGTTATCCCTGCCTCGTTCGCCCCTCGTATGTTCTGAGCGGAGCGGCCATGAACGTCGCCTACAGTGACAGCGACCTCGAGAAATACCTGAGTAACGCTGTAGCAGTGTCCAAGGAACACCCTGTGGTCATCTCTAAATTCATTCAGGAGGCTAAGGTAGTTAAAGACCCGATAATTACAGCAGAATTATTGATTATTATCAAGTTGAGTTGAGGCTGTACTGTTTATAAATTTCGCAGGAGATAGACGTGGACGCTGTCGCATGTGACGGTGTAGTGATGGGCATTGCGATTTCTGAACACGTGGAGAACGCTGGAGTTCACTCTGGTGACGCCACCTTGGTGACACCGCCTCAGGACCTCAATCAGAAAACCATAGAGAGGATCATGCAGATCGTTCACGCCATCGGTCAGGAGCTGCAAGTCACCGGGCCGTTTAACCTGCAGTTAATTGCAAAGGTAAGAAGTACATGGAAATACTGTTAAATGCTGTTGCTGAGGACGTGAACTTAAATTGTTACTCAATGCTGATACTTTATGTAGCTTTCTTACAGTATTTTCCAGATTCCGGTAATAAACAGTCAGATTTAGGGAGACTAGTCTTCTTCTTCTGGCATTTAAGGCTGAACGGGGAGTTGTGGTATAAAAACGTATAGTTTTGTAAAGTTGGCACAGTTGCTCAAATTAGCCAAGCATGATCGACCTTTTTAATCCCCAACCTGCTGGCAGAAATGTCCACCTATTAAAAAACACATCTCTCTTCAGAACTATGACGCCTAAATAAAAAAACCTTAGTTTATATGGTGAAAAATTATTTGAGAGAATCTTGAAGAGCTGCTGCTCCTCCACATCGAAAGGAGCCAGATGAGGTGGTTCGGGCAACTGACAAGGATGCCCCCTGGATACCTCCTGGGCGAGGTTTTCCGGGCAGACCCAGGACACTCTGGAGAGATTATATCTCTCAGCTGGCCTGGGAACGCCTTGGTGTTTCCCCGGATAAGCTGGAGGAGGTGGCTGGGGAGAGAGATGTCTGGGCTTCTCTGCTTGGGCTGCTGCCCCTGTGACCCGGCTCCGGATAAAGTGGAAGAAAATGGATGGATGAATGAATCTTGAAAATGAACAAGTCTTCCAGTACAGAGTAAAATGTGAGAGTGAAAATATTGCGTGTACTTAAAACCCCTGGAGGGTCTTGGGTCGATTTGTGGCTATTTTCAAATTTTGATTACATGCCATTTGCAGTGTTGAATGGACTATAGCCAAATTCTCCAAGTCTGACTTCCTTCAATTAGCTTCAGTGGCTAAGCTACAGACAAACTTACACTATTGTGCTTAGTGGTCGATTTGTGCCCCATTGAAACCCATTATAAACGCTATTTTTCACTGCAAATTAATTACGGTCAAAGGGATCGTTGATGTTTAGCGTTCATTTTCATTTTGCAGGACGGGCCTTAGAGTTGTAATTTTTTATTTGTCCACCGGGTGGCGCCCTTGCTCCACATTTGACCCCGGGCTGGAAAACAGCGGGCTGCTTAGACAGACCTGCGGGAAATGAAGCCTCATTTCCGGCGTGCAGCAGCGGCTTCGCCCGCTGATCGGGCGGGACCATTTTTTGGTCCCTAGGACCATGAGAGGGTGCTTTTTTTTTTTTAGTCAACAGGAAATGACGTATTTGTTGTCACGTGGTATCGGACGTGTGGGCTGGAAAAAGCAGTCCCCGGTGATCGTGCCCCGGTAATCGTCGCGACTTACCCCGGCAAGAATGCACTTATTTCGGCCTAGAGGAGGAGCATTTGCCGCCTGGAGACCATTTTCTGGTCCTGAAAAAAAAAAAGGCGATCGAAATGACTGTTGGTGCCAATCTTTAGTCCATCTAAAGGCCTAATTATAATAACAATTGAATATTACCTCAAATGTTTTTTTTGGAAAATATTCAAGTTTTATGTTTTTTGGGGCAAAAAAAAGCAGTGCGCTCATGTGACGAAACCGGGATATAAAGGGTTAAAATCCGCGAAATGTAATTAAAACTTGACATGAATATTTCAAGGAGAAGTAGGTCTAAAAGATTGGCTAATTTAAAGTGGAATAAAATATTAATATATAAATTTTTTATAGCACTTTTTTGGGCGTGGTCGATTTGTGGCTCTAAGCCCAATAGTGTATGCATTTTTCTAGGACCCTCCAGGGATTTTAATAAAAACATAGAAATGTTTGGGGGTTATTTTCTGGTGTAACAGAAATATACAAGTGCCACATGGATTTTTTTCAGGTGACCTCATTGTTGTGCTCCTGAAGCTTTTAAAAGGCTGCTGGGGTCATTTAAAAAAAACAAAAAAACTATGCGTCAGAGCAGCGGTCCGCAACCTTTTTTGCGCCACGCAATATGACCGACAATATTTTCACGGACCGGCCTTTAAGGTGTCGCGGATAAATACAACAAAATAAAACTAGTACCGGTACCAAAAAAAGATTTATTCATAACACACATGAAAAGACCCAGGAAAACAGAGTTAACGATAAGAACGATAACAAAATAATGCTGAAAACTGATTAAAAACCCTGAAAACCATACATTTCACACCTGAGCCTCAACTCTCGCGGCCCGGTACCAAACGACTCGCGTACCGGTCCGAGGCCCGGGGGTTGGGGACCGAGCGAGTACCAAGGACACCAGGAAAGCAAAGATTAATGCAGTGTTAGTTTTTGAGAGAAGCTGAGCTTGGTGCCAGTCGTTCATATAAGAGTTATGTCATCTTCATGCAGAGCAAGCAAACTAACAAGTTACCTCCATGAAAAATAAAAGTAAATGTGATGCTTTTGCTGTAGATTTGGGAAAACAAGCTACAGATATGTTTCTTCCCGTTTACAGCCACCACAGATGGCATTGTTTGTCCGTTACTTTAAGGTGTTTACATTGTAAAGTACAGACCCTGAAAGTCCTCATTAAGTTATGAAAATTAAGCTGTGTCAATAATGCAAAGGACAGTTATGTCTTCTATCAACACTGGTCAGAGCATTCATTCACCGCTGTTTTTTCTCTCAGGATGACCAGCTCAAAGTGATCGAGTGCAACGTCCGAGTTTCTCGCTCCTTCCCCTTTGTGTCCAAGACGCTGGGAGTGGACTTGGTGGCTCTGGCTACCCAGTACATTATGGGGGAGGACGTGGAGCCAGTGGGCCTGATGAAAGGGAAAGGGATTGTGGGAGTCAAGGTAAGCAGTGTGAAAGCAATCATAAATTTCCCTCAATGTTAAATCACTTTTGTCTTCTCATCTGACTGAGCATCACGGATTGCTTCAATGTCCTCCAGGTCCCTCAGTTTTCTTTCTCTCGGCTGGCCGGAGCTGATGTGGTGCTCGGGGTGGAGATGACCAGCACTGGAGAAGTAGCTTGTTTTGGGGAGAACCGGTACGAGGCTTACCTCAAAGCCATGCTCTCCACAGGCTTCAAGATCCCCAAGAAGAACATCCTGCTCTCCATCGGCAGCTATAAGGTACTTAAAGGTTTCGACTGACAAAAACACAACAGATAGGGATCCAGATGTGAACAGTGAGTTCAGCTCACAAGTGATGCAGCTGGAAGTACGAATGATGCATTTTAGTGGCACATTAAAGGTGCAGATGTTTTTGTGGCTGGTCAATCACATGGGAATAAACAACAGATTTTATGCGTCTGCTACTTTCCTAACGAGAAAAGCAACAAACCTTGATTATTTGTTTTTGCAGCAGCTGTTGATGATTCCACCAACAGCTGATAACTGTAAATATTATCACCATGAGACCAGATGTAGTTAAACTCGATCAAAAGCATCTCAGCAACACAAATGGAATAAAAATCATCGGACCACATTTTTTTTCTGCGGTGTTGAAATATTATGATCTGTTTGCCTGAAAATATAAAAACTATATTAAGGGGCGACCGTGGTTCAGGGAAGTCTAAAGATATGAATGCTGGGTTAAAAACACAGCAAATGGAACTGTATGAAAAGGCCATCGATGTCAGATAAGGTGAGCTGAAACTGAAACTGTCTGTCTACCACAATAGATTCAAGAAGTTTAAGAGTGATCTGATTTTAAGGAGCAGCTGCAGAGTGTTCCGGTTGTGTGAAGCATAGTAAACGAAATAGATTTTTCCAGCTTTCAGCACTGATGTTATGATTTTATTGTTTATCCAAACTATTTGCATTGACTTGTGTTTGCAGAACAAGAGTGAGCTGCTGCCCACCGTGCAGGCCCTGGAGTCTTTGGGATATGACCTGTATGCCAGCATGGGCACGGCTGACTTCTACACAGAGCATGGAGTCAAGGTAATTCTTTTAACACAGGCTTCGTTTTTTTGGAGTAACAAACTTTATTTAAATCAAAATCGACTTATTTTGCAGTGGCACATCTGTGAGTGACTCATGAATATGGTCGTGTTTGTGTGTATTTGTTTTTAAATGCTTTAATCCTGATAACCTTTACATCTTTATCATTCCTCTTGAATTGCACATCAAACCAAAGATTCCAGATGAGCAGCACTTATACATGGATACAATGTAGCTGTAAAAAATGTTTTATTTTGCTAGAGCTTTTGAAAAACAGCAGAAATTTATTTAGAAATGTCATTGTTCATAATTGTGGCATTCACTTAAGTACTTTAATAACACTATATTTTAAGTATTAATCTATGACAGGATGAAATCAGGATAGAAACTTTAAGTTTGTTTTGTCTCCTTGTACAGGTGACTGCAATCGATTGGCCGTTTGAGGAGTACGACAGCGATGAATGTGCCACCAAAGAGAAGCAGCGCAGCATCATGAACTACCTGGAGGAGAACCACTTCGACCTTGTCATTAACCTCTCCATGAGGAACAGCGGAGGTCGAAGGCTCTCCTCCTTTGTCACCAAAGGCTACAGGACCAGGCGTATGGCTATCGACTACTCTGTCCCGCTCATCATCGATATCAAGTGCACCAAGCTCTTTGTTCAGGTACGCGATCTGGTGTTTTTTTTGTTTTGTTAGGATGTTTTGTGTGATGTGGTTCTATGGGAACATGATTAATAAAGGGTGACTCGTTTGCAGGCTCTTCGTCAGATTGGAAGGACTCCACCAGTGAAAACTCATGTTGACAGCATGGCATCCCAGACACTCGTCCGTCTGCCCGGTGAGTGGTCGTAAACTGCAACAACAACACTAATGTCATCTTAGATGTTTGTTTCTGAAACAGGAATTCTTGAGTCTTTAAAGCAAAGTTGTTCAAAAACTGAGGTTCTTTAAACAGTAAATACTTCATCCTACTAAAAGCTTTACTAATTACTTGCACTAATAGTTCAGCTTCTCATTTTAATTCTTTTTCATATAGTACTGTTTTTTTCTAAATATTTGTAGTCGAGCTATGCAGACAAACTAGTACAAAGATACCGGGTGAAGTATTTTGGTTTTTGATTGAATCACAGGTCTGATCGATGTCCACGTTCACCTACGGGAGCCTGGCGCCACCCATAAGGAGGACTTCTCCTCAGGCACAGCAGCTGCTCTGGCAGGAGGAGTGACCCTGGTGTGTGCGATGCCCAACACTTCCCCCGCCATCACTGATGCTAATAATCTGGCTCTGGTGCAGAAGGTAAACCCACGTTTTTAAATTGTATTCGCTTTTTAATCTGTTGGCTGATCCTGTTTGTTAATGCAGAAATGTTAAGATTTTTGTTGGCAGTGACCAGAATGGACAAGATTAGAAATGAGTACTTCAGTATTCAGTAAAATTTGAAGCGATATGACATTGACTCCTGTTATATTGTGTCACCAGTTAGCCAAAGCAGGCAGCCGCTGCGACTACGCCCTGTATGTGGGCGCTGCCACGGACAACGCTGCTGTCCTGCCGCCCATCGCCAGCCAGACCGCCGGTCTGAAGATGTACCTGAATGACACATACTCCACCCTCAAGATGGACAACGTCTCCCTGTGGATGGAGGTAGGCTGGATTTTAAGTGTTGCTGTAGGGCCATTAGAGATGCTTCAGCCCTAACCATGTGGATCTGTTTAAAGCACTTTGAGAAATGGCCCAAGCAGATGCCCATCGTGGCTCACGCTGAGAAGCAGACGGTGGCGGCGGTCCTCATGGTGGCCCAGCTGTACCAGCGGCCAGTCCACATCTGTCACGTGGCCAAGAAAGAGGAGGTAAAGAGCTGTTTCTTATTGTTGTTAATTTTATGCAACTTTTACTTTATTTTAAACTATTTTAGTGGATTATTGAGGTATTTTACTTTTAATTAGTCTGTTTTATTATCGATTGCTTTGGCTGTTAAAGTGCATCTTATCTTAATTCTTTTGATTCTTTCCTACAGTTTTAATACTTCTTAATGGTTTTCAGATCCTGGTAATCCGAGCTGCAAAGCAGAAGGGCATCCAGGTCACATGCGAGGTCGCCCCTCACCACCTCTTCCTGTGCGAGGATAATGTGGCGCAGATCGGCGACGGTCGAGCGCAGGTTCGACCCATGCTGGGAACACGCGAGGACATGGAGACACTCTGGGAAAATCTGGACATTATCGACTGCTTTGCTACAGACCACGGTCAGAGAGCATTCATTTTCTGTCACCGATCATGCAGACCGACTTGTCTTCGACCTTCCT